ATATCTTTCAATCTTAGTCCACTGCTTTTTCTTAGTGTGATGCAATCTCCTTAGGAAGTGGTTAAATAAAGTGGAAAGGTAATGACTTTGGAGAGAGACAGGCTTGGACAGGAATCTAGGCCAAGTCATTGGTTGGTTGCGTGACCTTGGGTTCTGAAGCTCTCTGAGCTTCCATTTCCTCTTACGTAAAATGGGGGTGATAAATCCCCACCTTGCAGGATTGTTTTGAGGACTAAATGAGATGTATGTGAAGCCCTAGCATCTTGCCTGGTATGCAGTTAATGCTGAGCAAATGCTGGTTCCCTCCTCCCTTGTAGTGCTATAAAAATGGCAAGCATGGTATGGAGAAGAAGTTGGAGCTGTTACCAGTAGGGCTCAGAGTGCCCATGGAAGATGAGGCGGATAGGCGATGCTTTCCGGTAGACTATGTTAAGAATGCAGGCAGTGGGATTTTGTGTCTATAATGGAAACAGCCAAGTAGTTTTCCAGTTTGGAAAATAACTGGCTGTGGCTGTGTTGAAGTCTGACTCACTTGACAAAGTTGTTCCCTGCCCTCCCCCCCAACCCTTGCCTGAGGAGATATCTCTGATGATTATATCTTATCTCGAATGTCCTGTGTCTCTCTTCTCCCAGCAAAATGTTGTTATTACAAACATGCCTGGAGCGTAAAGGAGCATTAGAGACCAAGTTGGGTCTGTATCTTTTCCTTCTTTTGGGTCAGATGAATATAACGGCATTTTCTCCCTTGGAACCATGGAGATTTGCCATCAGGTAACCTGGGTTCTGGTGTTGGTCAAATACCCCTAATATAGTGCTTTGTGATTTTTGAAGAAGGTTTTATGAGCATTTTCTTTGATCCCAGGATGGCCCAATTGTAGTGGTTCTTAATCCTGGCTGCACGTAATGATCACATGAGAGTTCGAAACAAAACAACAACAAAACGACAACTGCGCCTGCTCTCAGAAAAATTATATTTGGAGATGCATCTTGGGCATTGGTGATTTTGTTTAAAGTTTTCTAGGTGATTCAATGTGCAGTTAGGGTTGAAAATCACTGCCTGTTTTGACACCTAACATCCCATTTCTTTGATGAGGAAAATGAGGCTCAGGGTAGTTAATTTTCTTGTCCAAGTTTATAAGAAAGGTAAAGGAGGAGTCAGGTTCTGTGAACCCTTATCTACTGGCCTTTCCTCTATAGAACATTGCTTCTCTACTCATATTGTGACTTGGGAAAGCAGCTTCTTACTTAAGAATCTCAGTTTTCTTATCTGTAAAGTGGGATAATAATGGACCTCCATAGACATTCTTTCCGAGAGAGAACATTAGCATCTGGTAAGGAAGGACTTGCCATCTAGTCTCTTAATTAGGATGGTCCCATAATTAGGATAAGTTAAGTTGATTTTTGACATTATTTCAGTGAAAGATATTCACGCTTATTTCTGTAGAGCCTTGCTGACCCTCTGTTAGTACATAGCAGAGTGTTACCGGTCAGGTAACCTGAATAGGGCTTTAAAAATGCAAGGAAAAGCAAGGAATTAGAGGGTATGTTTTCAACTTTCACACGTGCAGCATCTCCTTGACAGGAGTTTGTCCCAACTCCAGGGGTAGTCTACTGCTACTCTGGGGATACTTTGACCACTAGGGACTCTTTTCTTTAGTTGGACCTAAGTCCATTGCCCTGTAACCCCCAGAACTAATCCTGGTCTTGTCCACACAGAAAGGTAGCTCCATTTCCCCAGGGCAACCCTGAGGACCCTTCCCCAGGCTGAATCAACTGTTCTGCAGGGGACCTGCTTTCCAGTCCCCTCCCCAACCTGCTTGCTTCTCCCTAGCCTGGGTCTGTTTTAAAGGGGCTAAAAGGGACTCTCTTCTCTTGTCTCCTTTTTGAAGTCCTGTCTGGATTACTAATCTCTCATGCCCCAAGAGGGTAGGCTGGCTTTCCCAAGGGTGTGCCAAGTATAGCTTTACACATTCTGTTTTCAGTTACTCTGGCATAACAGGAAGGTAGACAACCGCTCACCTGTTATTGTCCTGGCCACCAGGCATCATGGCCTGCTTAACAGAGAGATGGGGAATATAAAGCCTTTGGATTCAAGCAGACCCGGTTCAAATCCTGGCTCTGTCACTTACAGGACTGTAAGCAAGTTATGCCATCTCTTTAAATCCGTGCAACCTCATCTGTAAGGCCCTACATTAGAGGGTCATTGTCATGATGTAGAAGGTATAGAGTGTGCTTAACATAGTAAGTGCTCAATACATGGTAACCTGTGCTCTTATAGCCATTAAGATAATTATCCCAACTGTTTGATAGCAAGATGATAGAGACCAGTTTTCTCCATGCATCAGCTTGTGTTGTGTCTCTTCATTCAGAAGCACCCTAGATGCTCAAGGTGACTGCCAGTGGGTACAAACAATGACTGGAGCTTCACACAAGTCCACTAGCTTCTCTCCCTTCCCCTAGCACTTTTCTTCTATGGTAGTTGCTGCCTGATATGCCACTGTTAGAGCTTCATTTATTTTAGACCTCTGACCACTGTTAATTCGCAAAGTCCCTTGGTAAAGAAGACACTTAAAGCTGTTCCCAATCATCAGTATCTAAGTGTCAGTGTGTCATCCTTTACAGAAAGCCCATCCTGCTTGAGCAAAAGAAAACCTTTCAGGCAAGAATGAGGGTCCTGTGATCTGAGGACCAAGATTATCTATTTATAAGCTCAGTCTAGATTTGGTTTTGGTTGTGACTCTGCGCAGACACAGATCCACCTAGACTCCAGTTTGGGGGTGTCTGGGAGACATTCCCTGTGAGCCCTCCACTTCCATAGAGGTGCTGTGGCCACGGGAAACCAAAACCTGCTCCTTACACAATAGAAACTGCGGCCTTGAAAACCAAATACCGCTCCTTGTCTTTTTTTGCTAGCCTATTTGGATGAGTCACTCACAATGATCTAGTTCATCTAAAATGACTTGTTTGAGAGCTGTTTCTGAGTCAGGTATGGTGGTCACCATTAAAAATGTGCTGGACTTAGGCTCGGCAATAAGGAAGTAACATAACCTCTAGAGCTCTGGCTTCAGAAATGGCACAAAAATGGAATGGACAAATATGAAAAGTAGATAATGGATCCACAGTGATTTAATTCTCGGTGATATTTTCATTTTATGCAAATGCAAAAAGAAAAAAAAAAACCTGGCTACTTGAAAGGAAAACAGGAACCAAAAAAATATTTAGTGTTCGATCAAGCAAAAATCCTTTCACACATATGCTAAGAGAGTTCAAACAAATGTAGATGTTAAATAAAAAGCCCAGGTACCAAAGAGCAAAATTTAATGAAAGCCAGAACTGTTAAGTATGGATTCCCGTTGAGAAAAATGTCAATCTCTTTCAGAGTTTTCCCATTGCTCTATTTTTAAGAAAAGTGTAGTAAAAATACATAATACAAGTTAACTTTTTTTCTTGCTTTTGTTTTCCCCGTCATTCCTCCGTTGATGGAAAGCATCTTCCACTGGAGTCTTGGACCCCCACATAGCATAGACCCTCATTTCTAGCATAGATGGTCTCTCCCTATCAGATCATGTTACGGGTGCACTCAGTGGCTGGAGAGTCCTCTTACCAGGCTAAAGGCAAAAGGTCTTTGAAGCATGTCAATGGTAGAGGGTTATTTCCACCTCCTCCGAAATGCAGACTCCCTAATGGCGGGTCATATCGGATTCTGCAGGGGTAGGCTAAGAGCTAAGAAAAATCTGGCGTGAGGGCAGGGGCTGGTAAGGACATCAGCTGGCAGTAGTGGAAACTGAAAATCCATCTTGAGGATCCTGCTTCATGTACCATGTCCACATTGACATGTGAGAGACTGAACAATAACACTTGAGTTAAAAGGGCGAAGAGTCTGATTCAGGGATGGTTCTTTGCTATGGCTGATAAAAGGAGAATGAGAGAGACATAGAGATGGTGGGAGTCCGCTGAGAGAATCCATAAATGAAGCCAATCGTGCTGCACCTACTCATAGTTAGATTCCAAAACCTTTAGTTTGTCAATTGCTAATGATAACCCCTAGCAGAGAAGACTGGATAGAAGTAGGGGGTAAGGAAACAAGCTAGAATATGGTTATCAATAAAAGCTAATGACACATGGCACACACTGAATCATGCACCTAGGAGAGTGGCTGCTGGAGAGCTGGAAGCCAATTGCACCAAGAATGAGAGTTGGGATCTCCAAGTAAGCTATGTGCCAGGAACTCCCCCTCCTAACCAAAGTTGCAGTCAACCTGGCCTTCTCTCCATGAACCCTGCCACTTCTCCAGTCTTGCTTTAGTTCAGATTGATAGTCAGAATCATGGGCTTATTGATTCTGGTCACTGGAATACAACATCCCCATTCTGTTTTAGCCAGGGGGAAGGCCAGCCTTCTTGGGTTAGAAGTCGGGGTCAGTGATCTTAAGGTCCCCCAATGTCATTATCAACTTAATCCATCTCCCTTACTTCTTCAAATAATACGGCCTTGGGCATTATACTTTCTAGACGACAGAATGCTATCTGGCCACATGCTAGAACAACATTTTTATGTAGACACAAAACCCAAGTTCTGCAGGTCAGCAAAAACCCTAAAGCTTCATATTTGGTCTCTCAAACTTAGGACAGGGCACACCATAGAAAGGATCTATTGCTTGTGGGCTTCGATGAGTCTTCCTCTTCCAAAATTCTTCCATCACCTTTTCTTTCACACTTAGCTTGCATACCATTTTCCCCCATATGAGAGGCTCCAAAGAGAAAGTCTACTCCACAATGGGGTTCCTGCTCAGATGTTAAGCAAATGAAAAATGAGAATCATGAGCCGTATCTCCCTAGCTGTCAGCTGTTCCCAAGGCCCTACTCGGTTTAGGAGACCTGTTGCCCTTTAGCCACCAGAGTGCCTTTGGGCTTGAGCATAGTCAGAAGGACATACTTCTCAGGGATGAGGCTGACTCTGTGAAGAAATACACCATTCCGCCTCAGGCCTTTGGGATGGCTCTTACACGTTAAAGGAAGCTTTATCTAAGCCTCCAGCAATAACTTCATGGGTCCTCCTTTGACTGCACATCTGCCTTTGCCCTCTCTGCCACCCTCAGTCTGAGTTGCTTTTTACATCCATTCCCAGCTAAACCAGTGTTTAGGCAGTGCCCCATCTGGGGAAGGCAGCTCACTCCTCCAACAACATCCATCTCCATCCATGGCTTGGGGCTGAGGAGTGGAGGGTAACTTGGAGAGCTCCCGTGGAGAATTACTTTGAAGGTTGCTTTTTTTCCTTTTGCTTGCTTGTAAGGTGGAATGAATCTTGAATCTCCAATTTGGAAACTGAAGAGGGATGGGTAGGGAGTTGAGAATTAGAAGTAAGGAGAGGGAAGGGGCCTAACAGAACCTGCAAACCATGGATATTAGTAAGAAAAAAAATATTGCACACATTTGGACACATTAACAACCAAATCAAAAGAAAATAGTACAGTTTCCTCATTAGTGTTCCAGTGACTCCATTTTCAGAGACACAAGCTCTGTTAGACAGGGTTATTCTCCCCTTATTGCAGTACAGTGTTATCATCCTCACTTAGCAAACGAAAAAGGGTGAAAGAACATTAAAAAAGGAAAAGGGATAGCAAAATGGTTTTTCAATTCTTCAGGAAAATCTGTTGAGTCATCCTCCTTGTGGTCATGGCGGTTGGTGGTGGTTGCGTTTCATTTTGTTGTTGTTTTTGGCACTGAAGGGTTTGGGATGGGGCTGGGGGAGCCTGAGCCTGCTCCCCAAGGGGTCTCCATCTGTTCCACTGCTCCAGTTATAATCCTGTGGCTCCCAAGGGCATCCCTGAACTGTGGCTCATGCAGGGAATAGATTGCATGGACTTGGGGAAGTCGTGGCTGACCACTCGGCCATTCTCTCCACTACCGCCACCGCTGGCTCCTGCCCCACTGTTCCGGGGGAGTGTCGATGTCCGTATGGCTTCGTTGATGGATTGCTGTGGGATCAAACAGAAACCCTTTTCAGGAGGACCGGGGGTTCTTCCCCGAGTCCTTGGCAATGATTGGCAAGGAGAATGAATCAACACTGGACTTAAAATGCCACCCCAACTCTTTTCCCCATCCAACTCCTTTCCTAATCTATAATGCTAATCTTGACTTCCCATGAACTCACAAAACTGTTGTGTGGCTCTAGACAAATCCGATCCCCTCTCTGGACCTCATGCTCTCTCTGTTTAATGAGGTGTACCAGACTGGGTTATCTCTAAAATCCTTTCCGATTCTTATATGCTGTGATTTCCAAAGGTGTTACATTGCCATGGTGGTGCTGATGATAATAAATGTAGCAAAATGACCAAATGGAAAAGCTCTGGAATGGGGCTTAGGAAACTTGCATTTCAATTCTGGTTCTGACATCAACCTGTATGACCCTGTATGTATCTCCTTACCTCTCTGGACCTTTTAAATCGCCACGTTTGTGAAATGTGATTATCTATGCATCTACCGACTTATTAGAAAGAATGGTGCTACTGCATGAAAAATGATTTGAAATGTTAAAAAGTAATTGAGAGTGTGTTATTGTTGGATCAAAATTAAAAACTGTCTATGATTTACTTCAGGAAAAGTGCTGTCCTACCTTTAGCAGCATGTTAAGGGAATGTAGGACTTGTTGAGTAATATAATGGGCAAAATGTAACTGGAACAGGGCATTGCTGAAGAAAATGAGAATACATCCCAAAGATTATTTTCTGTGTGTCAACTGCTTCCCATCAGCACGTATAACCTGCACTTCTCATTGACACATCAGATCAGTGCTACTAAGCTTGTGATTTCTAGAATGTTAGAATTCTACATATGACAAGCATTCCAACAATCACCCCAGGATCAGATGAATTAGGCGGGATGTTCAAGACCACAATCTGGGATTAGAACCGTATCCTATTAGACAAGAGGAAGGGTTCTGTTCTGAGTTCCTTTGGAGAAAGAAACTTTATGACAAGAAATCCAAACCCTTATCTCTTCCTGTCACTTCTGACTTCCCATTAAGAGATGCTCATAGAATTTTTGAGGTGGGGCTTGGTTTCTTGGTGGGAGTTAAACAAAGGAGAAGAATTGTCTATGAGTTGGAGGTTTCTTTCTCTAAGACAAACCCTACTCATCCTTCAAGGCTCATTCTGTTCTCACCTCCTTCTTGAAGCCATCCTAGACCGTACTAGCAAGTGCTGGCCCCCTTCACCCCAGGACTCATATGTTTTACATTCTCTTGTAATGGCTCTGTTTCAGGTATGTAGGATTTGTCTTCTTTCAGAGAGCTAGCTGTCTGGAGAAGGGCAAGGGCCATGTCTTCTCAATCCTTAGCTATCTCCCAGAGTGTCCAGCAGGTAGTTTGATGCACAGTAGATATTCTTGAATTTGTCTGAGAAAAACCAACCACATAGGATCCTTCTTAAAAAGTCTATGGCTTTCTCCTTTGTGTATTACCATGGTTCTAGTGATCAGAGAAGTCAGTCAGCCTGCCGTGGCGAGACAGACGTGAACAGGGTAGCTTTCTGATAGACAATGCTGGGAGTCTCCTCTTATTATTGGCAATTCTGACAGTGCTTTTAAATGTTCTTTCTTGTTGAAATCCATGATTCAGACAGATTTGCCCTATATGATGCTCCACCCACACTCGTTCTGTCTCTGCCTCAAACCCCCGGAGTTAATCTTTCTACACTCTGCCTTGGTTGTCCTCCTCTGAAGAAGAAGTGTGACCTGGATTGCATTCTTCTGAGTCAAGGCCAAATAAATATCACTGTGATGCTCTAAGGGGGAAACGCGAAGTGAACACATGAAGAATTAATGGTCATTCTCACCTAAAGAATGTTGAAAAGAAAACAACTTTTTATTTGTGTGGTGTGAATTGTGGAAACTTCCATAGATTAGCTTGGAATGTCTATCTCCTATGATTTTTCTCTGCCAAATCCCTTTAATTAAAAAAATGTTAAAAGTTCACACAGATCACCTTGGTCTTTGTTTCTCAAAAGATCCCACGTGTTCCTATAACATTCCATTGAAGTTGGTGGTACTTGATGAATTTATCTTAAAGGAGAAGATTGGTGGCTCAGTTGACATTGATGCCTATCAAAGTGTGAGGTACCTTAGCCAGGCATGTAACTAAAACCCTCCAAGGTCATGCCATTAAGAACTTGTTTTCAAGCAAGCTGAGGGCTTCCCAGAGGTCAATGACTCCATACTCCTATTGATAGTGTGTACTGCCTGCTTACTGGCTTCCTTTCTAATACATTTATGGGCTCTCAGGAGAGGAGATGAATAGAGTCAAAACTTTGGAGCAGAAAGCAATGCTAAAAATGACTATAACACTAGTTTACTAGTTTTCAAACTTGACTGCATGCTGGAATCACCTGGGCAGTTTTGGGAAAAAACACTGATGCATGAGATCTACCCTCTGAGCTGTTGACTTAATAGGTGTGGTGTGTGGCCTGGACATCTGGAGTTTTAAAAATATCCCAGGTGATTCTAATAAGCAAGCAAGATCAAAATACACTGATCTAATTTATTTGATCTAACGTTATAGAGAAACGACTTATGACTGACTTACTTAAGGTTACAGTTATGTGATCTAGTGCCAAAGCGGATGACCTTCAGTTCTTCCCATCCCCTGTAGCTAAGCTGTCATAGGCTGATGTCATTCCTACCCTTGCCTCTGGGACATGTGGTTCTCCCTTGTCCATCCTTGACATACCAGCCATTTTTAAAGTTCTTCCTTAGAGTAGTTGTTTTGAAATTAACACTCAGGGAGAAAAGGGTGAGTAGAAAGTCCAACCTCGAAGTCCCCTAAGTTGGCTCTTCAGAGATTCGTTTCTCTAACAGTGATTACAGCCTACATTCTCAGCCACTTATTTTTCTAGAAAAGTCTGCCCAGCCTCTGCACATCATAGAACACCCTAATAAAAGCTCAAACCTCATTAGTGACCTCATCCTAGCATACGTGCTAAGGGCCAGAGTGGCCACCTGCTGCAGAGGATGCACCCTCTGTATTACCAAGTCCCTCAGCTGCTCATTAATTCTGGGGAAATGTGCAAAGCCTCAATTGCTGTGGCTTAAACACGGCCCATGCTGGCACAGCCACATACAATTATGAAAGGTCAGTGGCTCTCCTGGCGGTGGGCGTGGCTGGGGATTATTTTCCTTTGGGAGCAAGGTGGTGAATAATAAAGATCCTGGTTGTCCTTAATATCAGCTAAAGACTCAGGTTTCGGTCTGTTTGCCTAGGCAGAGGGGAAGATCTGAGGATCCTAGACTTCATTCAGTTTGGATATTGTTGCTACTATATGACAATTTGAATTATGCTCAACTGTTGCAGTTGTCTGACGTCCCTCTCTGAGTCCCCAGCTCTCACATGTTCTCCTCTTCGCTCTGTCTTCCTGTGCTCTACCCTCCCTGGCCTGCTTTCCATCTCTGGGCAAGAGTTGTGGTCTTAGGTCTCTGACACTTGTGCATCCTTTGCTGGCAGCTCTCTTCCCCTTGTTAATTCCTTTCGTACTTCCAGTCTGTTAAGCATCACTGTCTCAGCAAAGCCTCTCTGACCTGCCCCTGCCCCCATTCCCTGACTAGGACTTGACAGCACCAGGCATTTTTCTTCATAACCCTCTTTGCAAACATGTAAGTGTTTGCTTATTTTCTGTCTTCTCCATCAAACTCTCCCTTTCCTGAGAACATGAGCTGTGTCTGCTTTGTTTTTGACTGTATCCCCAGTGCTGGGCAATGCCTAACATACAACGGTGCTCAGTGTGTTTTTGTGGAATGTCTGCAGAGTGTCTTCCCACTGTCCCTGTGACACTTGCCGTGTGTCCTGCTCATGTGACACATTGAAGGGGAAAGGGATGCAACAATGCATAGGCAAAGGATTACATTCCATGGATGGCCTCAACAACCGGATCAGGAAAACCTACGAATAAGGGCTGCATCTTACTTGGTTGTGAGCTGTGGCTGGGGCTTGAGAGGACACAGAGAAAGTGCTCAGAATTATCTGTTGCTATGTGGTTGGGGTGTGAGAGAGAAATTTAGAAGTGGCTTGGCCAGCACCAAGAACTCAGGCTTTGCAGAGGTCGTGTAGAACAGGAGTCTAATTCCTGTTCCTCCAGCTCCTAGCTTGTGTGACCTTCCTAGGACATGCTACTTAGCTTCTCTGAGCCCCTATTTCTTCATTTGTAGGGTTGCACTCATAGCACCTTACAGGGTTTGTGAAAATGTATATAAAGCACTTTAAATGTGGAAATTACTAAAAAGATGTCTTTCCTTCTTCCCTTCCTTTCTTCTCTCTCTCTCCTTCCCTTCTTTCCCTTTTCTGCCTCGCCTCCTCTCTTCCTTCTCTATTCCATGCAGAGTGGGGAAGGACTCCTTGAACACTGTTGAGAAACAGGACGCTGGGCCTCAACTAGGTTTAGGGGCTCAAGGCCTTAAGAGTTGGCCAAATACTGTAATCAAGGAAAGAAATGAGGGAAGTTCTCACCAAAGGCTCTTGTCACCATCAGTGTGGGCTCTGTGTGAGGTTGGAGGCTGCACTTCTGCAAAGAGCTAATTGCCTTTGAAGAAGACAAAGTACAGAACAGTAAAGAGATCTGCAAAGCTGGAAAGTCTGAGAGGCAAGCAGAGTGTGTTCCTCTTATTTCCTTTGGATAAGAGAGAAGTTGATGGAGCTTTGAAAATTAAGGGCCAGATTGATTAAAAAGATAGTAGAAGTATCTTTTCTGCTGTTAGAAGATTAAAAATTCTATTAGGAGCCTCGGTGAGTTAGGCAGAAGTCATGCCAACCAATGGAATTAATTATAGAAGATTGTGGTAGAAGAACTTGAATGAATGATTCCAAGAGATCCTGATGTTGGTTGCTGAGAAATTCAACATCTTCTTTGTAAAGGGAAGGGTGAGAATATTTCCAAAAAGTTATGGCATGACTCAGTGGCCTTTTCTAAGGATTTTTGTCGTAACCTGAATGTTGTGACTTCAGTGGTGAAGGTCAACACTTTCCCAGTTTTAAGAAGATACCAGTCTTTAGCCACCCTGGTACCACCACCTGGCACTGACCATGATTAGTGGGAGTCATGGAAGTGCTGGAAGTCCAGAAGGGTTCCTCCTTGGTGGATGCCTGGTCTCATTAGATTGTATGAGCAAAAAAATGGGACCAAAACCACGTTGGATGATGTTTGTGCTTCCAGCCTGGGTGGTTTCGGTGGTTGTATTTGCTTAAACTAATAGCAGCTCCCTCCCATGCCTCACCTTATCCTCTAAGAGATGTTTTCTTCTGGTTACAATTCCACATTAATTTTACTAATACCCTATGTGTGCAGGATGTTCAAAGAGAAATCAGACACAGCTTCTTACCTTAAGGAATTCAAACTATATAGCTCAACAAACCTAGGACATGTAAATGGGGGCAATAAAAGGAAAGTCTTAAGAAGGTCCTAGCTGGCCACTAATAATAAGAGGAAATATTATTGGGAATGCTAATTATCATTGTTATTATTTATTGAGGGCTTGCTATGGGCAAGGCATTTTGCCAAGCCCTGTATATCCATTTTTAAAATATAATCCTCACAACAATTTCATGATGTATGTATTACCACTAGCCCCATTTTAAAGAAAATGAGGATCAGAGAGCTGTTGAAACTTGTCTAAGATGACACAGTTTACAAAGAGTCTCCAGAGCCCGTGTAGACCACTACACTGCATTGTCTCTTAGGGGAGCGGCGAGAGGGCACTCCTGAGGTGGGTCCCTGGTTTGGGTGCTGGTCGATGGGAAGGTTTTGGGGGAGGTAGTAAAGGTTGCATCTCACTTAGCTCTTCTCTTATTCCCCTCTTTGCCTCTGGAGTGGCCTTTCCTTACTTTGGAGGGTAAGATAGGAGAGTCTTTAGGCTTACGTTTTAGATGGAACACGCAGAGGAAGCTTTGTTTAGGTTCTAGGAGAACTCATTGTATCCAGTTAAGCTCCTTGGAGGTCTACACTGGGTTTCAGGTCTGGGGCTCATGCGTTTGCTGTACTTTGTCCTTTCTCAGTGGAGCTGGTGGTGAGTGAGCTGGTCAAGGGTGGGATTGAAGTGTTCCTGAGTCTCCTGGCCAAATACCATCACACTGCATCCCTTAATTTTTCCTTGTTATTATATTTTAGGGAAGTTGCCTTTTAAATGGACTCTATGGGACAGGAAGGTGGGGAGAGGGATTGGCCTGCATGAAGGCACATGGGTGGGAAGCAGGAGGTGGGAGGCTGAGTAGGGAGTATGTAAGGAGAGCAGATTGCCTGGGAGGGGAAAGTAGGCTGGAGCCATGACGTGGAAATTCTGAATGCCAGGACAGAAGGCCTTCCTCCCCCGACTCCCACTCTCTGTGTACACAACTGAAGACAGAGTTTCCAAACAGGGGAAGCAAAATGTCCAGCAAAGACTTCTCCAAGAGTGACCCTGGAGGTGTATGTAGGGCTGATGGCCCATGGCAGGGAGGGGCGGGGCAGGAGGCTATGGTCATGATGAGCTTGGGAGCAATCGCACGTTGGAAAATGGGCTTCTAGGGCACATTCTAGGAGAGCGAATCCTGCCAATGAGTCTTCTTAGTGTAGTCAAGCCACAGCAACAGCCTAGGGTACATTGCTCAGAGTGACTACCTTCTCCCCATTGCTATTGTTTTGAAACTTTCTTGTTCTTCCTCTTAATGTCTGCCTATTCCCGGAAACCTTCTCAATTTCTCCCTCCTCTATATTCCTATAGGCCTTCCCATCTGTACCACAGGTTGCTTCACTGAATGACTTTTCTGTGCCATTCTTTGTTGAAGGTGCCAATGGTCATAGATTGCGTCTCAGTCCTCTCTGCCTCCTCAGGATGTCTTGGTCACAGATTGCGTCTCAGTCCTCTCTGCCTCCTCAAGATGTCTTGGTCACAGATTGCGTCTCAGTCCTCTCTGCCTCCCTCAGGATGTCTTGCTCACGGGGGTGCTCACATGATTACTACTTCCATAAATATTTCCTTATTGAAGCTAAATGATGAAATGGGAGGGGACTTGAAGGTCACTTAATCCAAACTCCCTTTGGATACTTGAACCTATATCCCTGCCAAGAGTTATTCAGCCTCTACTTGTATACCTCCAGTGACAGGGTGCTTAGTACTTATTGGGATAGTCCTTCCCACTTTTGGGTAGTTCTGAAAGAAAAGTAGATCCACTTATTATGTTAACATCTGTTCCGCATAGCTTTAGTCATTAGTTCTTATTGTACACTTTGGGATTCCACAGAACTAGTCTGTTTTCTTTCCTGCCTGAAAAGTCTTCATACTTTTATAGATAGCTCTCACATCCTCCATAATTTTTCTTTTCCAGTTAGTTGCCCTTAGCTATATTTGGTATGGTTTGGGATTGTCTAATGAATCTGCTTATCCTTCACTGTGCATGATACTCTTTGTCAAAGTCCATCTTACAATATTTGGCTAAGAAGAGACTTAATTCACCAAGCATGGCAAGATCATCTATTTTGCTGAGGTAGACACCTCCTCCCTTACTTGTGGAGCTACACTCCTGTTAATGCAACCTCAGAGAGAATCTGCCTCTGTGTCAATCACTCTTGCCTCACACTATGTTGTCTGTCACTTAAACCCCTAACTTTTAATCTCACGACCCCATCACTGGCTGATGCAGTTCTTTGCTCGTGCCTTATGTTATACCTGACACACCTCATCTTCCTTCTTTTCTCACAGCTGCCTCTTTCCCTGCCACTTTTCCTCAGAACGGCTTTCTGCCCCCTGCCTCAGGCTGACCTCAACCTCCTGTCACTCCCCACCCTTTCTAGTAAAGGGACTCCCAGGAAACCCAGCTGTGTCACAGAACAGGTTGGGAAAAAGGCCTGGGAAGACGAGGCCACCTTCATCCGCTTGGATTCACTACGGGATTTGTAGCAGAACTCGATTAAGGCAACCAGCATGGCTAGGCCCAGTCCTCCGATCAGGATGTAGAACACGCCCGCCACATTGCTGAGGCTCAGAGCGCTTGTCTTGTCCTAGGAAGAGGAGGAGGGAGGGGAGGGGGAAAGAGCAAAGTGAGCCAGGAGGCTAGAGACCATCCAAGAAATAGCATTTTTACACACATACACTCAGCCCCATCACCCTCTTTAACATTCATAATAGTTGGAAAGGCTTTGTATTTATTGACAGAGTGTTAAACATTCCCCAAGAAAAAAACGTGTATGTGTGTGTGTGCGTAACAATTTTCCAAGCATCCCTGATTACGTTCAATTTATAATGACATTTTCTGCCCTCCTCATTGCCTGTTCTAAGGTGGGCGATGCCACAAGAAATTGAGGGCAACTTCTACCAAGGTCTGCACCCTGGAGCTTACCCCATTCTCTCAGAAAACCGTATCCCTTCTTTTTCAGCTCAGTTCCTGTCCCCCCATCCCCTCTGTTGCTCAGCAACGCATTGGCCTCCCTTCTCGTTTTTGTTCCTGAGTATTTTTCTGAGAGTTGTACTTAAAATGAACTTTCCCCTGGATGTGCATTTGATTTCAATTTAATAAGACAGTTATTGTACGTATAATCAAGACCAACCAATGGATGCCTTTAACTTACTGCTCTGAGTCCCCATTTAGGGAAAAAGAAAACTGGAGGCTGGGAATAGTACAAAGGCACTGAGATAGAAAAATGGCTCTATCAAGTCCTAATAATTATGCTTAATTGGTGTCATTTTTTCTGTTGGAGGTGCTCGCTAAGAAACACTGCGGGCAGCTCTGGTGGCTGAATTTAGAAATCTCTGTCACCTGTAGTAAAAGATCTTGCGCTGGGTTTTGAGGGGCAGGGTCATGGAGCAGGTGCTTAATTTCTTGGGGCCTGGGGAGAGGGACCCACGTGCAGTAGGAGGAGGACAGAGCTCAGCTTATGAAGCCTGAGAAAGGCCATCCATCTGGTGAGACCAGCCCACGGGTTCTGTCACCTCCACTGGGGTTCAAAAGTTGGGGAGCGAGTGACAACATCTTCCCAGGTGGTGAGAACCATCAAATGAAACTAGTTCTCATGGTAGGGGGAAATGGCTCAGGAAGAGGGGAAACGGCTCAGTCACATTCTTGACCCAGGTAAGGGACCATGTTAAAACCTTGGAAGACTCCTCATCCCCAAATGTCACAGTGGCTCTCCCACCTTCGTTTATATTGTTTACTCAAATGCAAGTTTCCCATTGAATTAAAATGAAATGCACGCTCAGCTGACACAGGCACAGCCATGGTTGGTTGGCTGGTGGCACTGGCTGGGCTATAGTTTTTACACCTCTCCATGTGTTCTTTTCGGGTAGGGATGTAGGCAGGCCATACAAGGGGTGGACTCTTTTGCCTGAGCGACTCCTCAGACATCTGCCTATTAGAATCTGGGTGTGTGGAAAGGGATCTGTTACTGACCAAGTCAGTGGCCTCTGCCCTAGTTCTACTTGGTGCATTGTACAGGATTCAGCAGGGCTGAGGTTGGGGCCTGCAGCTGGCAAATAGCAGCCTGCTTTCCCTCCCCAGAAGCAGCCTCGGCTGGCAGAGCTATAGGATTATCTAAAGCACACCCCCTTGGTGGCTTCCTGTATTGCTAACGCAGATGGCTCTTGAATATGGGTTACACTTGGCAAGGCATATTCTGGCTTTGGAAGCAGTGGAAATGATTATTCAAAGTGGGTAGAATTTCTCCTGCTCTGGTATAATGGCCTGATAAGGGAAATGTGCAAAAATGAGTTGGGTGCCTGGTTCAAGAATCAGCTGAACAAGTAAATTCCCACTTGGCGTGATTTTCCAGAACACTCAAAATGTTTCCTTGCTTGTTGTTCAGGAAGTCTGTAACTCTGCCTCTGGAGAGGAATTCTTTAGAGTCCTTGGAGGACCTAAAGTTAGCAGAAGTTCCTGTAAAACTCTTCTGTGTGGCCAGGGTAGGGGTGTGGTGGGGAGGCATCTTAACGTATTGTCAACTCACACCTTAGAAAAGAGTGGTTGACAGTGGTGCTCAGAGAGAGTGGGGAACAGGCCTGGAGGAAGGTGGTAGACAGGAAGGCTGAGAGCCAAGGAACAAGTCCCGCTGACTTCACAAGCTCATCAGTTTTTCAATAGCTGAAGTGCACTTTGTGTCCTTGGTCACCACGGCTGTTTGTGTTTCCTTCCTCATGGTCTTTCCCAAGTTCACCTTGGTTGTGGGTTGCCTTCAAGGGTAAGGGAGTGGTAGGCATGTTTTTTTGGTACTATCTTCAAAAGACCCGAAGAGGGCATCTGCCTCCCTGGCTGGAGAAGGTGGACAAGATGGAGTGTTCACTTCTGGTATATCTGGGAAGGAAGTGGGGTCGGATCTGCATATAGAAGCGGGGGAAGGAGGCATAGTCTATGTCACTGCAGAAGGAAGAAGGTCCAGTGACTGCGCATTGGATTATGTCTGGAGATGGAGAGCGTCCCTCACTTCTGAAGGAGGCCTCTGGCCCATGAAGATGGCAGGGTATGTGTGTGTGGGGATACATCCCATACAAGCAAAGAGGGCAGTCAGATGGTATGGGGACTGCCACCTGTTGCAGGACACATAGTGCCACTGAGCCTTCTTTATGTCAACACAATTGTACTAACAGGGATCAGGGAGGACCTCTAGAATAGAGGGGGCACCTGGGCCCTATCACCACCAATCACAGAAAGCAAACACAGATATAACACAACTGTCTAAATTTGGCATAACTTGACAGGGTGTGAAATGAAGGGCTGGTGTTGGTGTCTTCACAGCCCACATAATTGAGGAATTTACATCTAGGCAAGGGTTTATGATTTCCCCTTACGTGAGTCATTAGCTTTTGGATAGCGGCAAATTTAGTTTTTCAAAGGAGGCCCAAGGCCACTGTCTTCTGTTCAGTTGCCACCTCTGCCTTTCTTGGACTCACTCTGTTGGAATATGATGGGGTGTTCTCGAGCAGGGACAAATATCCCTTTTATTTAAGGGTCAGAACTCTGATTCCTCCTCTGGCCTGCAGTGTCCATGTGAGAAGAGGCTTCCTAGTGGACTTGTGTACAAACAGCTGTGTTCATACTTCATGAGCAAGCCACATGCTTCCCAGCTATGCCCAGGGCAAGGGTGACCCAGAGTCTGAGTCTTCTGTGCACCCCTCTGGAAACCCCGTTCTCCTCCCCTCCCATAGCAGCCACACTCCCAAAAGCTGGCAGCTTGTTGGTGGGAGTGAAAAAGTCACAACTTGGCTCCCGCCAGGAGCAGGCAAAGAGAGTGACAGTACTGAGAAGAGTGACAGATGAAAAGAAAAACAAAAATTCCATCTTTCAGAATCGATAGGCTTGTTGTAATGGTGACGAGACCCGCCCTTCATCTGTTCCCCTTAGCCTGTTGTCTTGATTTGCCACCTCCCTCGTGTGGGAGGGAGATGTTTTCTTTTTCATATTTCTCCTTGCTCCTCCCACATAATGGGGGACTGTCCCAGACTCCCTCTGTGTTTCTGAGCCAACATCTCTTCCAAGAATGTGGGACTGGCTGAGTCTTTGTGAGGTTTGAGTCAGGCCTGAGGCAAAGAGACTTGAAGCTTTTTTTATGGCAATAAGTAGAAAGTTTTAGGGAGAAGCCAAGGCCTCTGGCCATGAGACCGGTCCCCTCCATGGAGACTGACTCAGCCCCTCATCCAAGGCCTGTTGAATCTGAACCAAGCTTCAGGTTTCTCCAAATGCTTCCATTTCTTCCCGATAAGAGCGTGGACTCCTATAAAGCAAAGGCCGTAGCTTCTGCTCTTCTCTACATTCCACAGGAATTCCACACATTTTCTGATGTGTGTACAGCTGGAGTTTTGGGGGCTGCCTACAAGCCTTCCACATGCTGAATCTGTAACCTGACTTTGCCTTTCAGGCTGTGAGAAGAGGCTCACCCCTCTTCCACTTATTAGCCTTTCTGCTATAGTAGGCTTTCTCTTGTGCTTTTCCAAAACTAGATTTTTGGCCTACAGATCATTTTCCTGAGCAGTTGGTCATTTCCAGGGAGTGGAGACTGAGGGGTTGGCTAGGCTCTCTCACTAGCCAGGACAAAAGTGGGGAAGCCATGGAGAGGTGGATTTGATTCAACTGAAGGGAGATTTTTCAAATCTATGGAGCTGTCCAAAGGTGGAATACCTTGCCATGGATAGTGTTGAGTACCCAAACGTGGATGTATTTAGGACAAGGTCAGCCAAGGCATTCAAGCACTGGACACAGAGCTGGACCAAGGGACTTTTGACACTCATGCCAATCCCAAGTGATTTGAGGCATCTAAGGAGTTCCTAGAGGGCCTGGGATCATGCCTTTTATAAATTCTCCCTAGAGACTAACGTCTTTAGGGGATACAAAAAAGGAACTCATGTTAATTGGCAACTTCTGCTGTTCCATTTCTAATCTAGGCCAGTTCCCTAGCCTGCATATTTTCCCCAAGAGCAACACAGGATGAGAATTGGCCCATTGTACTAATAATTGGCAAGGCAAATGCTGCAAAAGTGAGGCTTGTGGGGGTGGCTCTTCTCAGCAGTATGTGCTCAGGGACCAGCTGCTGTACAATGCACCACAGAACATCCTGTCTCAAAACAAGATTGCAGCAGAGAACTCAAGGAGATGATGTGGGTCGTGGAGAGGAACCCAAGGGTTGGCTGAGGCTGAGGCCTCTTCCAGAGTGGGAGGAATTTTCCAAAACAGAGGCACCAGTCTAAGGATAAAGTGGGCGTCTCCATAGGGGGCCTACACTATGAGCTGAATGTCTACCTGGACTATACATTGGAGAGCAGAGCTCTTGTGTCCCAGAGGAAAATAGAGCCTGTTGACCCCAGAGGTCCTTCTGGCTCAGAGCCCTAGAGACAGTTTTCAAGGAAAAATCCTTGTTTCTGTTCAGTCCCTTCTCCTAGAGCAGTAATGGGAGACTTAGGATATGTGGGGTAAGAACTCTGGGCAGGACCCAGGGTGTTTCAGCATTCAATTTCTGATCTGGGTAATTGCCGTATGTTGGACATGTCATCTTGGAGCACACACAACTTCCAGGAGATTCCCTTGGAAGTCACTGGTTTTCTCTAGGCCGTTGCTTGCTCTGCCTTACAGAGACTGGGAACCCTAACCCTGAGCAGGATTCTAGCTGGAACCAAAAGTCTCCAGGGTTTAGGGGAGATGGAATGACTTCTGCTTCTCAAGGATTTTTTTCCCGATCTGTGCCCCTTTGTCATTGTCTTTTGTGGGTGTCTTTAGTGCAGGAGACTGCAGTGGGTAGGTGAGGGAGTGACTGGAGCAGAGCTTCACAAGATCCCAGGTCCTTCCTGGTGGCCAATGCTCTCACCCATGACGGGGGCAAGGGTAGGGGTCTGTACACGGTGCAAGGACACAGTTGGCAGTGTGCAGTCCTTTTGCCTTCCAGGCCTTCCTGAGGGTGGGGGTGGGAAGTTGAATAGATGGACTTACTCTGCTCCGCATGGAATGTTGTGGCATAGTGAAAAGAGGGGGCCTGGGAGGCAGGAAACCTAAGCTGAGTTCTTGCTCAGGTCTATACTGAGTCACTGGGCAATCTTGGGGAAGTCACTAAGTGAGTATTGCCCACCTCTGGATGGTATGGGAGATGGCATTAGATGATACACAGAACTAAATGGCATCGACTAAAAAGTGAAGACTTTATCCCCTTTTCAATCCTCTTTGACTCTTTCTAATTAAGCCAATGAGAAAGTCTGAGTTTGGTGCTGGCCTGACTTTAACACCTCTTTATCATTTGTTCCCCTCCCTTTCTAAGAGAGAGCAGGCCTCAGTTGCAACAATAACTGTAATTTAATATTTTTTTGTTGTCATTATATTTACTTTTGTGATTGCCTTCTATTCTTTGCAAGAAATATTGATTTTCTATTTATGATAGTAGTGCTGCTACTTTTTATATGAACCAAACAAAAGTAATGACAAATGTAGTAGATTTAAAGGAACACATGAAGCAAATAATAACACGGATGGTATGTGAATGCTTGAAGTTTTGGCAGGGTGGGATTAAATCCTGTC